AGAGACAAATGAGAGGAGGCCCTTCAGCGCGAGTGAGCGCAGCCGAGTCGAACCAGGTGCGTTTGACTCACCTGAACACTGCGATCTCGCCGTAGTTGTTTCCAGCTGCCAGGAAGCGGCCGCAGGGAGAGAAACTCTGCGAGAACACGGACATGTGCAGCAGCTGCAGACACAGACAGGTGCGTTATGACACAGGTGAACAGCCACACCTGTGCAGGGACATCTGGGACACTTAAAGTTACCACGTGCTGTAGGACATTCAGTCATGTGACGTCACCTTTAGTCACCTGAGTGTAAACAATCCAATCAGCTTTGAATAAACAGTTTGTGAATGAACGTGCATGTCTCTATGAACAGATGACTCGGAACAAAGGTTGTTGTTAATACTGATCACTTCCGGTCAGTAAATCTGTCGCACATCACCTTCACCTCAGCGTGAAACTTTTTAAAGACTCGAATTTAAATTCAGTGGAATTTTTAACGGAGTTTGTTTTCCGGTAAAACAGAGAAAACCTGGAACTGGAAGCTCGTTCACTTCTTTGTTTCTATCGTTCAGCACGAAGCTCGCTTTACTCTCAAACATCAGCCGGTTTCTCTGTTTCCTGTTTCCGGTGAGTAAACGGAGTAAGCCTCACCTCCACGGGACCCATGCCGCAAACACACCGAGCTCCTTTAAACGAACACGGCACAAACAGAAGCAAAGGAACCAAAACTTAAACAGAGGAGCGAAAGAGCGGACCGGGGCGAGGGAATGTGACGTCACCAACACCAGCCCCGAGGATTCTGGGAGATGTAGTGTAGAAGCGACAAGACGCTTCTTTTCCTCAGCGGCTCGTCCTCCTCTGCACGTCCTCCTTCACTGCATCCACGAAGTTTCTCTGAGCTCTTCCTCTTCTCTTCCTGCCATCAGCTTCATCATCATCCTCCCTCCTTCCTCCAGCACATCACAGAGTCGCCTGCCTGGCCTCATCAGCCATCCCGTTGATCAGTACTGCAAAAAAGCTCAGCTCAGAGCACATCCCTGATGTACTCCCACCTCCACCTTCAGCCACCTCAGCGCTGTCCTCATACGTATGCTGCACCACCCTCACGTACTCCTTCATGGTTCCTCGTGCAGTACCGTCAATCATCTAGAAGCTCCTTCTCATCTACATGTCTCCATCAGCTCTAACATCACAGCTCTTCCTCAGCATAAAGCCACACTGCTGCTCGACGATCATCAGCTGTCTTCTTCACCTAGCTTCAACGTCTGTGTTGCACATGTTGGTGGTGTGGCTCACCAGCGTCGTCCTCTCTCCTAGACTTCTCCACACCCACAGAGGTACACTGTACTGCCAAAAGTATTCACTCGCCCATCCCAATCATTGAATTCAGGTGTCCCAGTCACCTCCATGACCTCCATGACCTCCATGACCGCAGGTGTTTAAAGTCAGCAGCTAGGCATGCAGAAGGAATGTGTGGAAGCATGGCTCGCTCTCAGGAGCTCAGGGAACTCCCTCGTGGCGCCATCATAGGATGCCTCCTGTGCAACAGGTCCAGCTGTGGAATTTCTTCACAACTTAACATTCCACAGTCAGCTGTTAGTGGAATTATAACAAAGTGGAAACAACTGGGAACGCCAGCAGCTCAGCTATGAAGTGGTCGACCATGATGCAAGGATGCGAGGCGCAGAGTGCACAGAGGTCGCTGACTCTGCAGAGTACGTTACTACAGACCACGTGGCCTTCAGCTGAGCTCAACAACAGTGCGTAGAGAGCTTTTTGGAATGGGTTTCCATGGCAACCAGCTGCATACAAGCATTACATCATCAAGTGTTTAATGCAGTGGTGTAAACCACGCCATTACTGGACTCTAGAACAATTGCGGCATGTTCGCCGGACTGACCAATCACGCTTCTCCGTCTGGCGATCTGATGGATGAGTCTGGGTTTGGCGGTTGCCAGGACAACGGTACTTGTCTGACTGCGCTGTGTAAAGTTTGGTAGAGGGGGGTTATGGTGTGGGGTGTTCTTCAGGAGTCTTCGTGCTTCAGCAGACCTGTGGACACCTTCATGTTCCCAGTATGTGGACCAGTGTGGGGATGGCTGCTTCCTGTTCCCACATGACTGCACACCAGTGCACAAAGAAGAGTCCGTAAGGACACGGACGAGCCGGTTTGTGTGTCCTGACCTCAGCCTGATTACACCTTTGGGACCAATCAGAGCGGAGGCTGTGAGCCAGGCCTTCTCCTCCAACATCAGTGTGACCTCACACATGTGCTTCTGGAAGAAGGATCAACACTCCCCATAAACACTCCTGAACCTGAGGAGATCCCTGCAGGAGACGTACAGCAGCACACGGTGGGCCGACATCATATTCACTGGAGTTCATGGCAGAACGGTGGATCTGGCCCAGTCGCCTCTCCACCCTCGTCTTAGCTGCTCTCAAAGTTATCATAGTTTTATACTCTCAAATGATTTTTTATTTTTATTTTATTTTGAGTTTTTAATTCGCTTTAGTTTCCAGAGCACATTTTCTTGTTTCGGTTTGGTTCAGTTCACAGCACAAAACATCATCGGCTGCCCCCTGCCCTCCTGTCTGCTGTCTACAACTCCCGTTGTCTCAGCAGGGCCAGAAACATCTCAAAGGACACTACCCACCCCGCCTACCATCTTTTCAACCTACTGCCCTCTGGCAGGCGCTTCAAATCCATTCAGGCCAGAACAAACAGACTCGGGGAAGGCTTCTTCCCCAAAGCTATCACCATACAACTCAAACTTGTACACAAGGGCGTAGATTTGGCCTGGACGGAAGGGACATGTCCCCACCAATAATTTGATCTCTTCGAGTAAAGAAAACAAACCTGATAAAAAGAAAAAAAAAGATCTGTCAGCATCTCATTCACCCAGCGGTGCAGAAAGAGTGAAATTACGT